ATCACTTTGCAATCTCATCTCCTCTCGGCGGTAGCATCTCATCTCATCTCATCAAAGATCGAGCCGCTTCTACCGCAACACACAAGGCCGAGTGTGTGGATGATGTCAGATTACTTGACTTGATGTGTGGTATGCAGGAGAGGTGCATCTATTGCTACCAGCTCCGCAACTCCACAATGATATCAATAACATGCAAATGTGAAGGGAGCTGCATGGAGTCTTGCATTAATTTCAAGGCTGCGGGAGCAATCTTCTAGAATGAGACATGTAGAAGGAGTGCAGTGCCACTGCGGTCGCAAACCGATCGACTCGGAAAGAAGGATATTAGCGCCAACAGTCGGAGAAACGCTCAACTACATTAAGAACCGTTACAGCATCTTTTACCTGTTGCCATCGTTGCTATTCGAAGAAGAAGACAAGGCGATTCACATAATTTTACTTTTTTGAACGCTGTATAGGACGCCTACCAATTGAAAAAACTCAAGTGAATCTATTTTGAAGATGATTATGTTTTTTTTTTTTTTGGGAACATTTGTTGATTGAAAGTTGAATCTAAGCAGGTTCTGTTTCCGTGCGCGTTGTGTCGACGATCGTGTGTTTCGTAAGCGCATGCAAACTAATTTAATCTCTCGACTAATTAATATTTACTGCTGGCTGCTTGTTTAGCTTGCAGCCGTGCATTGGATGGGCTGGTTGGTTGTTAGCTGGCGGCTGGTGGCTGGCATTTTGAGTGTTTGAATGTTTGAAATGAAATCGATGCGCCGCAGCCACGCACGCACACAGCGCGCGCCTTTCGAGGCCACGTTCGTGGCGCGTTTTCGACGAGCCAAGTAAATACAATGTAGGACTGCCAGCGCAGTCAGGCGACAATTAAAACACCAACACGCACGCAATTCTCGGTGTGTGAATGTGTATTAGTGCAATATTATTAACCACAGGCCTGATCACGCAGAACTCGACTTCGTTTTACATTTAATTGCATTTAATTTCCTTAATTGATGCAATTATTGCAAAGGTAGCATGCAGTCGGAGTTGAAATGCAATGTGGTGGGAGATAGGGGGAGGAAAGTCTTCGCGATTGTCGTGAGATGGCGTCTGCTGTACCAACGCGTCGAGCTTTTCAACGGATCGATACCAGCGGCGTCGTTTGCCTGAGTTCACCCGAAAGCTTTGAAAGCGACCCAAACTAACCGCTCGGAGCCTTCAAAGAAGGATGTTACAAAAAAAGTCATGCCCAAAATTTTTTTTGCTTCCATTCTTCAAGAAAATAATAGAAATAGAAAGTTATTGGGCAAAAAATCAAGGGTTGGACAAGAAAAACGTTATAAATCAATCAATGTCAATAGAAATAATAAACTTGAATTCTTACAACCAAAGAAAAGTTGCAGAGAGTTACATAACGGGTTAAAAATGATGCTTTGCTTGTTGAGGAAAATTGATCAGTAAAACAAGATTGCTTGCTCTAATCTTTTTCGTCTCATCAATCTGGAGAGCAAATCTGTAGATCTAAAGTAACGCGTCGTTTTTCTTTCTTTTTCCTCGTTGGCGTGTCTGGCATAGTTAAACTTTTCGACACTGCTCCACACAACCTCGAATGCATTGTGTAAAATCCAAGCAAGCATGGCGAACAGCAATCAAAAGACGCTAGCGAAATAATGCTCCGCGCGGTGTGCTTCAAGTAAATAGAAGCGCGCACAGTGCACACGACAACGTAAAAATGTAAAATAAACACAAGACCGAGCCGGCGCAATCTTAGCCGACGAGTAGGTAGAGTGAAAAAAATAAAAGCCAACTAGGGTTGGATTGGTTCAGCTAAATAAAACCGCCACGTCAACGGAAAGCTGAAAAATTAAGTTAAAGAACAAAAATCACTAGAGAATCTCGTAGGTATTCTAAATTCATCAAAATTAGATTTGTTGTGTTTTTTTCGTCTGTGCACATGCCTCGTAACATCTAACAAGATGAACCTCATCTCGACTTTTTATCCGTTCTACACCAAGTCAATCTTCAGGCTGCGCTTGGAGTCTATATCTTATAGATGTAACTCATCTTGCTCGGTTCATCCTTGCTTATCCCGGATCTCATTTATTTCATGCAGCGCCGAGAAATTCATGAATTCCTGCGGAGACTTTCCAGCGCACACGAAGCACCCCTATATGGTATATTTATGTTGGTCCGAGGGGTTTACCTGTAGGCGTGCCGCCATTGCTCATATCTAGGAGTTCTAGGACTTATCGTGTGCCTTAGAGCATAGCAAATGAAACTGCGCTCGTCCTTTTCCTCATATGTGATATGAGAAGAAAACAGGTAACAAAATAAAGTTTTTTTTTCGACGAGTATATTGAACCAACGACGTTATACTTTTTTATCAACATAATGTTTATTTATGTATGCATGTATGTAAATTTGATGGGAATTCCACGAAAAACGTGCTTGCAACTTCCTAATGCGGAGATTAAACTAGTTTAAATTGCAAATACAGATTTATTTACGAAAATTTGCATCGTAAAAAACAAATTTGACTATCGGGTTTTTTGTGTGCTGTATTGATAGTATTTTTCATGTTTAAGCTGCTTGGGTGTTTCCGTCAATTTAAAGAATTGTTCAATAAGAAAGAAAAATCAGTGCCGGCATTTTGTTACGAGTGAGGGTAATTTTAATGACCTGTTGATCGTAAAACGCGCGTTTCGCGCGAAACAAGAGCCTTTTCGGTCGTTAACTCGCCGACACACATACACACAACCACAACAACTACATGACAGTACCCGCATATTACACATGAACCATGTGTACGCGTTGAAAATGGAAGAACTTCTAGCCACACATTGATAAATACAATGCTTCTTCGGCGTATCCTGTCATGTCATGACATAATAAAGTAATTCCCTTTATATTTTGCCCTCTCATCATGTGCGTACGCCTACCAACATGTTTCGCATCATTATTAATCCAAATTGGGCGACAAGGATAAAAAAAACACGCTAAGATGTTATCTCGGAATGAACAAGTTTTCGTTTGAAGCCCAACGGGTTTTACTTTATAAACTCTATGTGTGTGTAGAGCTATACACGTTTAGCGTTCCCTGGCGATTACACCATGTTCGAAATTTACACTTTACGCGCAACTGCATCAAAGCAGCGCCGGGCGCACTCTACAGAGTAAAAACGCGTCGAAAAACGTAAAACACAAACACCGGAATGTTGGAGTAAATTGATGCGGACGAGACGGCTGCTCTCGACTACCAGTTGGGAACCAGCAGAGAAAGTTGAGGAAACATCATGCCCGAAAAGTGTGTACAAAATTTACTAGAAGCATAATGTGTGTATGAAGGAAAATGAAACACACTTTATATGTGTATGTGTCACGTGCAGACGCAAAAGTAGTTTTCCCTCTTTCATATCTCACGTGCTATCTGGGAAGTCCTATTTGCAGGGAGACGGAGACATTGGAAAGACGCAATGTCATATGTAATGCAAAAGCTTCCACACAGTGCCTTCAATAAAATTTAAAAAAAAATTTAATTTTGGTGTAAAATAATTTTTAGAAATATTTTTGGATGTTTTTTTTGTAATTTTTTGCTTTTTTTGGTTGAAATTTAAAACAATTTGTATACATTTCAAGTAAATTACGCCCGGAAAAGACTCTGACTCTATGCTTCGTATGTGAATAGAGAAACGTGGTCCTTTGGACACCGAAAAAAGCGTAAAAGCCGGCACGAACTTCGTTACTCTGTGCACATGCGATGGCCGCGATGCCATTGAACATTCGGTCGAAGGTTCGGTCTGAACGATAAGAACGACCGCGCCCAGTGAGCACGTCCCGAAAAAAAGACGCACGCCGAACGCAAACGACACAAATTGGAAAATTCTTTTTGTACAAACACGCACACATCTACAGCTTCCACTGCCTCAACCGCCCGCCATTGGTAAATATAAAGCGAAAGTAAACGCGCTACGTGCGCGTGTTGGGACTTTTAAGTAACCTCTTTACGTATAGGTCTATCAAATTTGGCTTATCATTATTTGCGCTACGTTTCCTTTCAATATTTGACCGGGCGCAATAGGCGTAAGTGCGCTCTTTAAATGTTTATACATTTTTTATTTTTTAGATTCATTTAGTGGAGAGTGTTTGCAACTGTACCCTTTTTATTCCCGGAGTGAAAAATGACGCCATTTGTCTGCACTGTAAATTGCAAAGCATCAAAAATGCAAAAATAAAACAAAAAAGTACTCCGAGCGCTAAAGCTTTCCAGATATTGAATTCATTTCATTAATGCATGCGCGCCAGACAATGTTTCATTTTACTCTTGCAGAAAATGAAATTTCCCAGCGTATTGATATCGGATATCGTAAATTACGTTATTGATTTGGGGATCCAAAGCATTCCAAACTGGTTTCCAGCACGCTCACATTCATTAATTATGCCAAATAGTCACGACTAGTGGAAACCACTTTAATTTTTATCAATATCTTAAACTGGTCTACAACACTCTTCTCATCCGCAGCACGCAGCGCTGGAAACTAATAACCGCATGTCGTCGTCAAACTAAAACGATTACATGAACGGCCATGTCGTTGGGGATTGACGCGCGCGCAAAAGTCACGAAACTTCTCTTGTTATTTAATTAAAACTATCCGACCGCCCATATGGAAAGATATCCGGACGCTTCTGGTCTTATCAAAAGCTAATATGAAAACTTTCTTAATAATTCGGAATGCTGGAAAGTTGGTCGAGTTGGACAAGTATTTAGACAAGATTTCTAGGTGCTTGAGAAATATTAGACAAGTTTGCAAAGGACACAAAGTTACAAATCACCGAATATCCTCACTGGAGATTTACCCTCGTGCATTAGTGACGTTATTTTTTTCGTTTTACGCTGGTAACCCTATCTTATCTCTCGTTAAACTTTAGATTTAGGAAAATTACCAAATTGCGCTGCGCAAACAGAGCAATTCCGCAATGCAACACACAAATATTTCATTTCGACAAAGTGCACTTACCTCCTTTTTAATCAATCGGATTACCATGAGACCATGAAACCAAACGGAATGAATTCCAGTCTGATTGCATCGACGTGGACGACTGCATTTCGTTTTCGCTTGTTTCGGCACGAAATCGATTTGTTTAAGGTCTGTAATTTCATCTTGCACCTGAAATATTGCAAGAGGTAATTATTTAAACATAAAATAAATTGGGAGTTGTTAAATTATGCGCTTTGTTCATTTCTTTTCACGTGCGTTTCGTGCTAATTACAGAGCTAGAGGTTCCTGTCTTATATTTTTATAATTTTTGTTCTTTAGTTCGACGTCTCAAAATTTAATCCTTTAAATTCATTCCGCATGTTCCTGCTTAAGGGTTGGGCGTTCACGTAACGTAATGACTGCGGCATGCAGTGTCTCCATTCCTTCCTTCCCTCACTTTTCGTGCTCGGTTTGTAACACAACCACCCTCCCCAAAACTGCAGTGGACTAAATGTGCCACAAGTTGAACAAAGACAACTTTATCGTGTAAGAAAAAGATCTCTACATTGCACCCTTGTGTCCTTTTGAAAGGGCGCAAACTCGGCATGTCTCCGTGCATTGCACATGCGCACAAACCCAACATGTTTCGATCCTAACGTCGGAAACGTTCCAGCGGATAGGAAAAATCTACCGAATATATTTGTGTGTTAGAAATGAAATAAATGCACGATTATAGACACACTACCGCCATCTTCATCACCACGGCACAGTAACAGCAACGATTTTCTCCGGAATGCCGTAGGAAGGTGTTTGCCGCGCCGAGATAAACCGGCAAGACAGTGATAAACAACCAGACGAATAATACTTGCGAGTGTGAGATTGTGTGTGCTTGCTAGAGCGCAATAAACAAGGACAAAGAATGAAAGGTGTAGGCTATAAATTTGCTTTTAATTGACTTCTTTGCGTTCCACGCTGCGTGTGTAGGCCAATTACTAGGCGATGCAGAAATACACGATACAGAAAACACAAAAAAAAGCAAATGGGCTGCTAGAAACCGAATTATTTATAGAAATAGCCAAGCAAACCGTCCGAACAACTATTTATTGTCACCGGAATCAAGGAAACAGTTACGAGTCCTTGAAAACAACACCAAAAACTATTGCTTTAAAAATAAATCAAAATGGTTACAAGTAGATATTTAAGTTTACCACTTGAATACGCGTAAGACAAACGCACTTGATTGCTTCAATTGCAGCCAGAAACATTTGTAGACTAATAATTTGTTAATTCATGCGTCTGCTTCAACTCGGAGTTTAATGCACTTATAGCTCAAAGAAAAACAAAGCTGAATAATTGTATTGGACTGCAAGTGCAAGACGCATTCATACATTACGATATGGATATGCTTCTTCGCATCTTATACTTCGCATTTATACTTCATACATATTGATACGTATTGATTCAATATGCGGCCGGCGTGCGTGTTGGCTCTTATTAAAAACTGCCATCGCGAGAAACCGAGAAATATAATGAAACCAAGCGCGCTGTAATGCAATGCGAATGATAATTTAAAATAAAAAAAATAAAACATCCAATTGCCTTGTGGGATGCGACCGGACGGGTCTCAGCCGAGCGCTCATTATTGGCCGTCTCGATCGGGTCTTCGATCCGGCATCTTACGGCCCCGGCGAAGACATCGGAATGGACGGAATGAATATCAAGTGCAATCAAGCGTGCATTAAAAACGACCGCTGCGAGCGAGCCAACGACATCTGCGCGCAAAATGTTATTACACACACTCGCATCATCCAGAACAATCCGATTGTATACAGTGTGTTATTTAAACGTAATACTAACATCAAATAATCGATAAATTATTGCGATAAACACCATGTAGATATGTTAAATTTAAAATTGAGTGTAATAAGCGACAAATATGTGAATATAGCATACGATTAATATCGAATTAAACTAATAAACTCAATGAAATAGTGCACATTTGCGCTGGATATTTTTAAATTCATTTTTTTATTTCATTGCGTGCGGATAAAAATGTTAACGCTGTGTCTGTGGTGCATTTAACACTCAACCAGACCGGATTTGCATCCTAATGAACGTCTAATGAGCGAGTGCACAGCGTTATCTCACGGTTTGCTTAATTAATTTATGTTCATATTAGTATAGTTCATATCACAGTGTTAATTTATTTTATTCCGCATGCGCGCAAGTTGAAAAATGTTTTGCTAAAGTTCTTAATTAACTAAAATTAATTACGCTGATATCTGCATGTTTCGAATTCGCGTGTTTGTGTTTAATTGCTGCGGAGATAACAGCGCGCGCGCGCTTTCATCTCGATTTTATCAGATGGCATTCATTTCGTATCGATGTATATACATAACCTAAATTGGATCTCCAGCAGCGGACGTAAATTAAATTAAATTAAAACGTGTGGGGCCTACAACTGCGCCGCGGTAACTGAAAACCGTAAAAACGCAATCGGACCTTAGGATATTGCGATAGTGGTGATTGCAGAAGCACAAACAAGGCGGCCGCATGTGTAACTCAAGCCAACGAACAAACACGGCAAACAAGATAAACTGACGGTGGGTGTCTTGGATCAGTCGTTTTACATGCGCAGCCTTCGTAAACAATTTCATATTACAATTCTACAGTCATCATATTCTATTATCTTATTCACTTATACGAAAATAAAATATTAACAATCAGTGCAGCGTTAGTGTCAGCTGGCGGTAGTTTAGCAAGATTTGTGATGTCTCTCGCCCATGGGAATTACACATAACCTCACATGTGAGCTCGTATTTAGGGTGGATGGAAACAAAACAGAAAAAAATAAAATCCGCCCTCTTTCATGAAATTGAAGGTCCAAAACAACAACATTACGCTTGCAATATGTCCACGTAGGATTTCCGCACACCCAAACCTTCCAAAACGGGATCAATGTCGTTCGTTTCCACCTAAAGGTGCAGAAGGTATGAGATCTCGGTGAAATGGACATCGAGACGCGTCAACAAATAGCATTGCGCTCTACTCTAGGTGAAATAGGAGGAGAAAGCTGGCCATTTGGGAATTCAACCCCACGACGCGCAAAATTTTCTCTTTTTGTGTGCTTTGTTGGGCGCTGTAGCGTAATGAAAGTTGCACCTTTCTATTCAGCACCATAACGGTAGTGTAGGAAAAGATGATGCGCGTTGCACAATACCGACGTGCACCTAAATAAAACCGAATAGGTAAAGATATCGAAGGTATAGCCAACCAGAGATCAAACTTGTCTAGACTGCAGATGGGCCATTCGTATTTCGGTGCATTTTCGTTGCTGGAAGGAGTTTTCTCGGTTTGCTGCATTCGTGGTCTCATCAAAACTAAATTTAGCATGCAAATACGTTATGCAAACCGAAATATTATATATTAAAACAAATTTAACTAAAAAAATAAATAATACTTAGTTATTAAATTAACTACTGTTATTTTTCTTCAATTTTTGATGTTTTTATGAAGTTTTTTTAATTTTTAGATGTTTTCGATTGGAAAATTCGCACCAGGCAGTATAAAACATCATGCACAGTGAAGAGGAAAATGCGGTTGCCTTCCGAATTCACAAAAGATCTCCCGACGATGACACACCGCCGTGGAAAATAGGAAACTATGCATTCGCCGGTGGCACCGTAATAGAAGCCTGAATGAGAAGCACGAGCCGAATGGCGTTGGAAACTGAACAAATTTCGTCGGGCGAAACGTGTGCCAGCCAGTTACCGACGGCAAACGATGTCAAACTACTCCTACGATATTAGCGTCTGAATAGAAGCATCCACCTCGGCATACAGTCGAAATTTCCAGATGACATCCGCGTATTTACCGTGCAAAAAGGTGAAAATAAATTCCATCCAGAGTTAAAATTAAACGTGTAACCTTCAAATGTTTAATTTATATACAAATAAACGTCGAAAAAAGCGACAGAACAATGCACAGCTTAAATTGTTAATAAATTTAATATTGCATTGTTTCTTCAAGCCCGTTATATCGTTGAGAATAACAATACAAAACGCAATGATATTGAATAAACGTCGAAACAATGCAAATCTCAGTTGGCAAAACGCCGGCCATGTTTCGTTATCATCTTGTCATTCGTTTCGGTGATAACACGAATTGAATACGATTGCGATAATAATAATTGATTTAATTTGCAGCGACTGCAGTCACTGGAGAAAAACATTTTCAACTCATGCACACAACCATGTGACCCAGTTATTTGTTTAATCATAAATATTCAACTTTTAAAAATATAGGCACATATGAAATCTAGACGAAAATCTTTATAGATATTGTTAGTAAGTACACTACTCAAAATGTACTAAAAACAATTTTTTCGTCAATAATTTATTTAAATCGCCAAACGCGAAACATTCTGCAAGATAACCTGCATGCTGTATCGGCGGAATAAATAAATGTCACACTGGTCGTATGAATAATGCGTACCTACATATGCCAAACAATCAACGCTGTAAATAATACTGAAAATTGCAGAATAATATTGAGATAACGCGAGCAGCGAGCAACGGAGTTGTGTTTACACGTGGGTGTAGTGTTGTTGTTTTTCCAATCGCTTCATGAATATCGCAAAGTTTTCGCTGTGAAGCGAAACGGCCGAATCGATATCGTCTACGCCATATTATTTGTTATATAATTTAATTTTTCAGCACACACGCTGCATATATCTATATCTATTTTTTGCATTATTTTCGTCTGGGAGTCGTTGGAATTTATTGGAAACTTAACAACGCATACAAAGATCAGACGTCGTTTCAAAGTGTTGCAACCGGCGAAAAGTGTTCCGCTCGCCCGAGTTTCACGCTTTGTTAAACATAATTGGGCGGAGTATTTTTTTTTTTGGACTCTGAATAGAATTTTGCGCGCAAATTAATTAAAACAAATTCTTAAATTTTGCGTTGTTAAACTTGTGTGGCACTTGTTTGTTGTTTGTGTGTTAAATTCAGTACAGCGAATGCAACATGCTTATATTAGTGTTTTACTGTTTTAGTGTTTGCAATTCGGGCGAGGGAAATTGTGCGCGTTCCTTGCTCGCACTTATTACTTATTACTTCCATCATTCGAGAGCGGAACGGGAGACAAACGCAAACAAGTGTACGAGTGGCCGTGTATGAATGTTTATA